CTCCAGCAGACAGCTTCCACCAGTACCAGGCTCCAGCAGACAGCTTCCACCAGTACCAGGCTCCAGCAATACTCAAAATGCCACCAAAGAAGAACGAGAAGCTACCATGCTAACCCCAGATCCTGCTTCTAGTCCAGGCCCTTGGTGAACCTGCCTTCACCCTGAGTCAGCTGGGATAGGCTCCGCCCCCCGTGAGCCTAGTGAGTGTTCAGGTGTAGAGATGATGGATGGGTTTGATATGTGCTGATGTTGCTTTTTTTGCTGTTGTTTTGTTGTTGTGGTGACTTTGTTGTCGTTGTCATTGCTGGTGATAACGTTGCTATTGTTGATGATGTTGTTGTTAACATTTTCTGTTGTTGTCGTCAGTCGAGACGTCCGTCCTTCTGTCCCATCAACGAGAAGCCAGACAAAGAGGGAGCAGAGGATTCTGGGAAAACAGCCGTGGTGTTCTCTCTGAAGAACGAGGTCGGCTGTTTGGTCAAAGCTCTCAGACTGTTCCAGGTCAGAAAACACCCAGAACCAGAACCACATCCAGAACCACACCCATGCCTTTATCCATCTGTAGAACCACTTCATTCTGCTCCTCGTACATCACGGAAGGTTCTTGTCGTGTTCTCCAGGAGAAGAGGGTGAACCTGAACCACATCGAGTCTCGGGTGTCGAGGCGGGTTCCTAACGAGGTGGAGATCTTTGCAGACTGTAGCTGCAGCAAGAAGGAGTTCAACGAGCTGCTGGAAAACCTCAAAGACCATGTCAACATCGTGTCCTTCAACACACCGGAACATGTCTGGGCTGCTGAGGCAGGTACGAATACACACCTTATGTACAGGTAGAACACACCTTGTGTACAGGTAGAACACACCTTGTGTACAGGTAGAACACACCTTGTGTACAGGTAGAACACACCTTGTGTACAGGTAGAACACACCCTATAGACAGATGATCAGCTGATATATTTTGTTTCGACTTTTCCCAGAGAGCAACATGCCTGATGTGGAGTTTGTTGTTGGAGTTAAAGGTTGTGTGTCTTTGTGACGTTGTGTTCAGATGGAGAAGACGTTCCCTGGTTCCCCATGAAGATCTCTGAGTTGGATCAATGTTCTCACAGAGTTCTGATGTACGGTTCTGAGCTGGACGCTGATCATCCTGTGAGTTCAAACTTCACCTGAAACTTTCTGTAACAACATCTGAAAAGTGTTTCCTGCCCTTTTCATCATATTTGTACTTTTACTGATATTTCCATGTATTTAAAAGTACTGTTAAATAAAAAAGGTTCTGTAAAAGGACAGACGGGCTTCACGGGTTTGTCCCATATTGTTGTTAAAGTGCATCATGTCTCTGAGGCGAATCCGTTTTCTTCCTGTCAGGGCTTCAAAGACAACGTCTACCGCCAGCGCAGGAAGTACTTTGTGGAGGTGGCCATGAACTACAAGTTGTGAGTATCGTTTGATTTCTCATCTCTTACTGGCAGGTGAGATCAGTTTGTGTCCTGACCCATCTCCTCCCCAGCGGACAGCCCATCCCTCGGATCGACTACACCCCGGAGGAGGTGAGGACGTGGGGCGTCGTGTTCAGAGAGCTCACCAAACTGTACCCGACTCACGCCTGCAGAGAATACCTGAAGAACCTGCCGCTGCTCACCAAACACTGTGGCTACCGGGAGGACAACATCCCCCAGCTGGAGGACGTCTCCCTGTTCCTCCGAGGTCTGGGTCCAGGAGACAGTTACCATGGCAACCAGCTGGTTCTGTATCCACAGTAACACTTTCTAATGATGAGTTCTACAGGAGGGTCCAGATTGATCACTTTAATGGACTTTTTCCATCATTTCTGAGCCTCAGAACTTCATCAGTACAGCAGATAGACACATGACATTTAGGAGGAAGAACACATCTGGGTTCTGGTAGAACCTGACACCAGATCAGTTCTACATCCATCCAGGTGTCTCAGTCTGAACACTGGACCTGGTTCTGTTCACGTCCTCTGTCTGCAGCTGGTAGCATCAGTATTATGGGATGTCTCATATAACATCAGCTTTGATTGACCTTTAGTTTTCTCCCGTCACAGCGGACCGAGGAACCAGGAGAAGAACCAAGGATGTTGTGACGTCGTGTCTTTGTGTGTTTCAGAGCGTTCTGGCTTCACGGTCCGTCCAGTAGCAGGTTATCTGTCTCCCAGAGACTTCCTGGCCGGTCTGGCCTTCAGAGTGTTTAACTGCACGCAGTACGTTCGTCACAGCACCGACCCGCTTTACACACCAGAACCGTGAGTACCTGGACCTGGTGCCCTGCTGATCTGACCCTGGATGAGCCCCTATTGTCCTCAACAGGCTGAAATGAATCCGAGTCCAGACAAGAGATTATTTAAATCAAAGGAAACGTATTCAAAGTAAAACGACAGCAATCAGTCCAGCTTCAGGACAGTAGGGGGCGCCACAGCGCCAAAGATCCTGGTTAGACTCAGTATCAAAGATCATCCGTTTTAGATGTGTTCCAGCAGTTCACGATGAGAAAAGGTTGAATAATTCCATCAGAGATCAATAACCAGTCAATAATCAATAAGAACAAATTCACGTCTGAGGCCGTTTTCTTCTGATCAGCAGTTAGAACCCAAACATGTTCAGAAAAAGAAAATATTCACATTTAAAAGCTGTGAAAGAGAAACTGAGCTGCTGCTGCTGCTCGGTTCTGAGGACAGAGGAAGTGGGCTTCAGAGGTCCACCCCAGCTTCTCAGAACTGATAGAAACAGGTGATCAGATACTTGCTGCTGATTGGTTCTCTCTCAGACACTGACTGCTGATTGGTTCTCCCTCAGAGACACTGACTGCTGATTGGTTCTCCCTCAGAGACACCTGCCACGAGCTGCTGGGTCATGTTCCTCTGCTGGCTGATCCAAAGTTCGCCCAGTTCTCCCAGGAGATCGGACTGGCTTCACTGGGAGCGTCGGACGAGGACGTCCAGAAACTGGCCACAGTGAGTCTGGTTCATGTTGACTTGTTTCTGTGGTTCTGGTCCTGGTGGGTCGTTGTATGAATAGAATAGAAAAATACTTTATTTATCCCAGTCTGGGAAATTACTGTGGTCCAGCAGCAAGAGAAAAACACCGATCCCAACAGAAGAAGAGCCAAAGTTAAATACTATTTAAAAAATTAAAATTAAAAATAAGTGAATAAAATAAAATAAATAAAACGACTGTACAAAATGTGCAAATTGAAAAAACAGTGCAGAGACAGAGGGTTTTACAGAGCAGAGAGCTGAGAACGCTCTGTGTTGTTCAGGGTTACTGCTCTGGGTTCTGGTACCGGTCCTTGTACAGCGGAGCTGAATCAGTCTGTTTGAGAAGGAGCTGCCTGTCCAGAAGGGGGTGGAGAGGTTGGTCGGGCTGATCCAGAATAGATACCAGCTTGTTCAGAGTCCTCCTCTCCATCACCGCCTCCATGGTGTCCGGTTTGCAGCCGGTACCGGAGCCAGCCTTCCTGATCAGTTTGTTCAGTCTGTTGGTGTCGCTGGCTCCGATGCTGCCTCCCCAGCAGACTACAGCAGAGAACACTGGCAACAACAGACTGATAGAAAATGTTCCACATGTTGCTGCACACGCCGAAGGATCTCAGCTTCCTCAGGAAGTAGAGTCTGCTCATCCCCTTCTTATATTCAGCCTCGGTGTTGATCCTCCAGTTCAGTCTGCTGTCAGTGTGGACGCCCAGGTACCTGTAGTCCTCCACCGCTTTAATGTCCTCTCCCAGGAGGTTCAGGGGCTGTGTGGTCATCCTCTTCTTCCTGAAGTCCATCACCATCTCCCTGGTCTTGGCCACATTCAGGAGCAGATGGTTCCTCCCAGACCACTCCACAAAGTCACTCAGCAGCGCTCTGTGCTCCTCATCCCGTCCACCACGTATACACCCAACCACTGCAGAGTCGTCAGAGAACTAGTGTGCCACATTTCTGTCACGTCATGCCTTGTTGTGGTTGTTTTGTGTCACTCTTTGGACGTTTTACATCTTTTTGTATTGTTTGTGGCTCTTTGACATGTTTCTGTGGTTCTGCTTGTCTCACTGTTCTGTGGATGTGCATGTCTGAGGCAGCATCACATTTAGGTTGTTTTCTGTCTGCTTGTGGTGGTTTTGCATCACCTTCTGGTCACTGCACATCATGTTCTGGTTGTTCTACGCTGTCGGTAGGCGTCTCTCCACTCAGCACCAGCTTCTCTGCACACTGAGCTCAGATCCAGACGCTGTCCGTCGCTCTGACAGTCACTGTGGTTCTGAGACGAAGGTTCTCAGTCATCCAGGTCAGAATGTGTTCTGAGATGTGTTCATGGGAGCCAGGAAGTAATCACATCAGTAATCTTAGTCATCAATTAAAGTGATTGAAGCAGCGTTCAGATGACACTCAGCAGCTTCTGATCAGAGGCTGGTTCAGGTGAGTCTACCTGCAGCTGTTCACCTGTCTGGTGTGACTGAACCCTGAGTCACAGGAAGTGGATCAGCTGGAGAAGACCACCAACAGATCCGCCATCCATCACCCATCTGTCCCAACACACACCTAACGGACACACCAACAGGACGCTGCACACGCCTCATCAGTGGGATCAATAACTGATCAATAACTGACCAGTAACTGATCAATACTGATCAATAACTGACCAGTAACTGATCAGTAACTGATCAGTGACTGATCAATAACTGATCACTGTGTTTGTGTTTCAGTGTTATTTCTTCACCATCGAGTTCGGACTCTGCAAACAGGACGGTCAGCTGAGAGCTTATGGAGCGGGCCTGCTGTCATCGATCGGAGAACTCAGAGTAACACACACACACACACACACACACACACACGTCCTACTTTTGTGAATCAGATCATTGGTTTTGTCCAAAAGAAGTAAAAGCTGTGAATGTCTGTATCAGTGAATACAATCAGGGGGTCCAACCTGTGGTCCTGGGCCCCATGTGGGCCACATGCTGGGGTCCGACCTGTGGTCCAACCTGTGGTCCTGGGCCCCATGTGGGCCACATGCTGGGGTCTGAGCTCTGTCTATAAAACTAATCAGTCCATGATCTACTGGTACTCCTGAGCAGCATCACCACCATCAGTGGGTCATAACTGGATGAACTGATGAGTCATGATAACTGAGTTTCAGGTTTGGAACCACCGGAACCAGAAGCACCAAAAGTATACCAAAACCAGACACAAGCAGTAAAATACAGACAAACTCCAGTTCGAGGTCAAACTGTGACGACTGACGTGTCTTCTGCCTGGTTTCTGCAGCACGCTCTGTCCGACCAGGCCTGTGTGAAGATGTTCGACCCGAGGACGACCTGCAACCAGGAGTGTCTCATCACCACCTTCCAGGATGTTTACTTCGTCTCCGAGAGCTTCGAGGAGGCCAAAGAGAAGATGAGGTAACGGCTGAGACCAAACCGGTTTGATTCACTGGAGACAAAAACACACACCAGGAAACTGAAAGACTAGTTAAAGACTTGCACCCCTTCTCCACCAAGGAGCACCAGGTACTGGTTCCAGAGCTTAGTTGGTTCACATCTAAGAACCAGGTTACTTTTCCATCAGGAGCCCAGTCAGAACCGTACGTCACTGCATACGGAGCCGTTTACCGAACAGCACTGGCGCCACACAGAAGTCCACACAGGACTCCAGACGGACTTTGGTACCGGTGTGACCCACTTTCTCATCTGGTCTCACTTCCCACCTGGTCACAGGAGAAACATCTGACCTGCTGAACATGTTCTTATCCATAGACGCTACAGTTTACGACGTTCCCTGAACGCCCCACATAGCAGGCTGCGCTAGCTGCTGCTGGAGGCCGCGGTGCTCAGACCGGTGTGAGACCAGAGATGACTTTAACAGAGTGAACCAGGAGGTTCTGGTGTCACATCTGTCCAGCATGAAGCCCAGTGATGTGTTCTCATGAGGTCTTCTCTATGAGCAGAATAAACAGTGTGTAGCTGAGGTCCATTTGTCACCAGAACACCTCATTTCTAAGCTAAATACCGACGTTCTAACAGTCGTGTTCTCCACCACTGTGGTGCTGCTCCTTGACACAGTCGGACCGGGTTTCAACAGTCTGTGCAGAACTTCTGTGTGTCCCTGGACTCATTCAGTACATCTGTGATCGGACCAGAGACGTCCTGGAGAAACACGACACAAATCAGCGCCTGTGTGTCCCATCCATCGGTCCGGTTGGTCCCAATAGCCCCGCCCCCAGCCCCTGATGGACTCGGTTCTTAGCTCTGGCCCAGCAGAGACTTGGTACCTGAAAAGCACCGGTTCTGACAACCTGGAGCCGGTGCTTAGGTGGTAGAAACACAAAGGACCGGTGCTGAGTCAGGCTCTGGCTCCGAACCAGCACCGGAACCGGTTTGGTGGAAAAGGGGTCTGAGTGAGTAAAGCTGGAAGTTCAGACAAACACACTGTTACAAAATAATATACAAAAAATAAATCTGGCAGCAGAGAAAACTTTTAAAAACGTGGAATCCTGCATCACTGGAACCCAGTAAGATACCAGCAGATATGTGTAAAATAAAATGCATAAAGCTACGTGTTTAAGGTCAGGAATACAGAACTGATGTGGGATTCAGGCTGTTTGAAGTCAACGTGTGCATTAATACTCTTTGTTTGTGACGTTCGTAGGGATGATCTGTCATTTCACAAAACAGAGAACGTCTATAAAATAACAGTAAATTGTTCTAAAGGTTCATTTTTTACAGTGCGACAGGCTTGACCTGACGTTAAACGCTCTTATTATTTTTGTTGTTATTCTGTCACTGCTGCGTCAGATTGAGTTGAAGCTGCCTTGGATGAAGTAACTGAACCTGCCTCCTCTCCTTACCTGTGTCATGTGACTCTGTGGCCCCGCCCCCTCCTGCAGGGAGTTTGCGAAGACGATAAAGCGCCCGTTCTCGGTGTACTACAACCCGTACACCCAGAGCGTGGACCTGCTGAAGGACACGCGCAGCATTGAGGACGTGGTTCAGGACCTGCGCAGCGACCTGACCACCGTCTGCGACGCTCTGGGCAAGATGAACACCTACATGGGCATCTGAGGAAACACCTGCCCCACCTGTGGGCTCCGACTGGTCGATGACATCACCATGACGCTTCTGCAGATCATCAGCCGCCATCTTCACTCAGTGTAACAGGAGAGCACGGAGGGTTCTGCTTCATACCGGGCCGGTTCTGGCGTTTAGACCAGCAGGAATGTTTCTTTTCTTTAAGTCACAAAGCAGCTGTAAACGTCTGGAACCGCCCACCTCCACCTCTCAGCCAGTTTAAAAACAGGAAACGTTTTCTAACCGCTTCTGTCAGTGTGTTCGAAGCAGCATGTCCCTGAAACTACATTCAGTTTGACTAAACGGATTCCCAGCGACGCTCACATGCAGCATGGCTTTAATAAACAGATGTGCAGGAGGAGCTCGGGGTGGATGGAGGGTTTACATCTGCTCTGTGACACCAGTCAAACCAACAGGCTTTAAGTCTTCTGAGCTCAGCTGTGAACCGTCCAGTCAGAAGTCTGGTTTCATAGCAACCGCTGTGACTCTGACAGCTAATCACACGTCACCTGTTCTATGACTTGTAGATGGCAAATGGTTATTAACTGATACATAAATGTGTAGCTTTTGTGAAATGAAGGCCTTCACAGTTCTCCGTCTGTACGAACCTCCATCTGTACCAGACCTCTCTAAAAACATCCCGCTTTATTGCTGCGCTGACGTTTTCAGCGGCTGTTCCTTCTTAGCGTCGCTCAGCGTTCTGTTTCCTGACCTGTCGTGGCCGCTGTTGTTTCTGTCGACTGCTTCTTCTGGTGTTTGATCCGGTCGGACTGTTCTTGTTCTGTGTTGTCAGTGAAACGACCTCATCTCTCTTTTCTTTGAGTGTCCAAAGTTGCTGTGAATCAGAAACGACGGTTGAAGCAGAGGAGACATGAAGATAAGCATTCATGGACCTATACGACTGAACAGATCTGTTTGGTACAACCAGCATGAAGTCTTCAGACTGTTCACAACAAAGACCTGCAGCAGATAGAACCGGGTTTAACATGGTCCAGGTTCTGGTCCAGAGTCCTGTCTGAAGGTTTTGGTTCAATGGGAGTAAAGTTGTTTAAATCATTGTGGACTTTATCTGGATCAAAACAGATGAAATCATGAACCTGAAGCTGAACCAGAACCAGAACCAGAGAGCAGGTCCACGTTGCTGCAGCCATTAAGGAGGAAAACAAAATGTTCTGACTGAGTGCATATCAACGTATTCACAAACTTCACAGACATCTGAATCAGGGCTGAAAGATGTTGTGGTTTAATTATAAAGTAGAATTTTGTAGAGAACTAGAACCTGAGACCACCAGAACTTGTTGTTCAGCCTTACTGTTTCCTCACTGCATTACCAGAACCTCCGACTCGGTTCTGTTTCTTCACTCTGCTTCTGTTGCTGCACGTTACTTGTATTAAAATGTACTTTCAGAGTCGAAGCGTCGCTTTGCTTTGGGTCACTGAATAAAGAGAATGTAAGAAGCTACAACAGATCTTCTCCTCCTCAGATGTTCCTCCTCAGATGTTCCTCCTCAGATGTTCCTCCTCAGATGTTCCTCCTCAGCAGCTCAGCTCTGGACATCCAGGGAAAAAAAACAAAAGGCCTCATTTCAATAAAGCTCAGCATTTTCAGCTTCATGCAAATCCAGTTTTACACATCGCTGATCTTGAACCCAACAACATCCTGAGAGCTGAAGGAGTCCAGAGGATAGGAACAAGCAGCTGGTTCTGGTTCAGACTGAGTCCAGACGATCTGGATCTGAAGCTCCTCTTTGTTTCATTAAAGGACTTAAATTCACTCCAACAAAAGAGACAAACAGTCCAGTCAGATTCTGCTGCTCATGTTCTATTTGCATCATCATAACGTGGATTAAATGTGTAACTAGAGCTGTAACAGGAAGCGACTCGGATCTCAGTGACTCGGTTCTGAAACGTGTCGTGTTTTCATTAAAGCCTAAAAGATGAAGCATTAAAGCTACACAGTGTTTGATGTGCAGCTTTTCCTGTTTGTTCATTTGTCACATGAAGCATCTTGTAGCTCTGCACATCCAGAACCAACACCTAGAACCAACATCTAGAACCCACATCCAGAACCAACATCCAGAACCAAGACCTAGAACCAACATCTAGAACCCACATCCAGAACCAACACAAAGAACCAACATCTAGAACCAACATCCAGAANCCCACATCCAGAACCAAGACCTAGAACCCACATCCAGAACCAACACCAAGAACCAACATCTAGAACCAACATCCAGAACCCACATCCAGAACCAACATCCAGAACCAACATCCAGAACCAACACCAAGAACCAACATCTAGAACCAACATCCAGAACCCACATCCAGAACCAACACCAAGAACCAACATCCAAAACCAACATCTAGAACCAACATCTAGAACCAAGACCTAGAACCAACATCCAGAACCAACATCTTGAATCAACATCTAGAACCCACATCCAGAACTGACACCTAGAACTGGTGCTGGTGCCAATGCTGTGAATCTGATCTTCAGGTAAACACTGGATGTAAATGCACAGAGTCACAGAACGCCAGGTGTTCACAGAAACTCAGAGACATTTGCATGTTGGGAAATGTTTTGCGGGCCAGAGAGACCAAACGTCCTGCAGTCTGCTCCAGGTGTCAAGGACGACGGAGACGTCCACCATCCTGCAGGTGAGTTCAGCTCCACTTACTGATTACAGTCTGCAGACAGATGGAAGTCCATCCAGAAACTGTCTGAGTGAATTTATATCTGATAGAGTCGTGAACAGAAGTTTCCATCCACGTTAAACAAAATGCAGCGATTCTGTCCAGAGGAACCAAAGATAGACCAGAAGAACCCGACTGAGGAGGACGTGGACGTTTAACCAAATGTTAGCGTTTCTGTATGAATGTTTATGAAACAGCTGATTTTGTCAGAAGACCTTTAATACATCTATGAAAGAAGCAAAATACATGATTGCTGAAAGCTTCATGTGTTTCAGTGACTCCACCGTTGGGTTCGGGTTCTAGGAGTCACTGGACACTCAGACCCATAAACTTGACTTTACATGTGGATGGAAGCTGTTGTTCAGTGAACTGATGTTTCCATGACATCATCTGTAAAAGACAGAAATCCTTCACACCAGCGTCTCTGTGCAGGGTCACGATGGGAAACAGCAGCACGGCTCCAGTCGGTGGAACCAACATCAGCTCCAATGGATCTCTGGGCTTCTCGCCTGGTTTCTTCTGGCCTTTCGGTTTCTCTCTGTCGGGTTTCACCGAAGCTCTGAGTCACTGTCACGTCAGTGCCGGAGCTGTTGGCTGGTTTGGATTCAAGATCTTCATCCTGCTGACGGCATTTCCGGCCAACAGCTGCCTGATGTGGCTGCTACTGAGGAGGAGGGCGGCCATGACGGCGTCGGAGCTGCTGGGCGTCAACGTGGCGGCGATGGACATCCTGTACTGCGTCGTCCTGCCGCTGGACATCTACACGTCGCTGCATCGCAGCTCCGAGACCCAACACGCCGTCCGAGAGGCGCTGTTCGCCCTAAATATCTTCGGCTGCCCGCTGCTGCTCACCTGCATGTGTGTGGAGCGCTACCTGGCGGTGGCGTGGCCCGTCACCTACCTGAGGCTGGGGGGGCGGAGCTACCGGCTGGTTCTGTGCGGCTGCATCTGGACTCTGACTCTGGCCGTGGTTCTGCTGGGGTTCTTCGCCCGGATGTTCACCATGACGCTGTGTCTGTGCGCCGTCATCTCGCTGCTGTTCCTGCTGATGCTGCTCAGCCTGCTGGGGATGGTCCGGGTTCTGCGCCGCAGCGGGCCGGGCGACGGTGGCGGTACCACACTGAAGAGGCGGGCTCTGAGGAACATCATGGCCGTCACAGTGCCGTCGGTGGCGGCCTACTGCCCAGTGGTGGTTCTGGTGCCCTACATGCTGGTCGTGTCCAGACAGACGCAGCAGCTCAGCGCCGCTCATTGTTCCGTCATCAACTTCCTGCTGCTGTTCCCGAACCTCGGCCTGTTCATCGGACCCATGTTCTACCTGGCACGGATCAGACAGGTGAGCTGCTGCAGCCGAGAGAGTCCAGCCTCCAGAACACAGGCCGAGTAGATCCCAGAGACACAAACAACCGGAACACGACAAAATGACACAAACGAGACGTAGAACCCAGAAATGAGGCCACAACAGAACACAAACATGGACCATTTGATCCAAACACTCGGAGACACATTTATCTGGAAAAAGTACTGAGAACCATTTAAAAGAGGTTCTTTACTGAACCACAAAGAAACATCCTGAAAATGGTTCCTCAAAGAACCTATGTTTGCTCTTTAGTTCTTTAGTTTTATGAAGGAACCGTTTGGTGGTTCTTTGAGTCACCCTGTGAGGATCTTTGAGGAACTTCTTTCCTGAAGGTTCTTCTGCAGCATGAACTAGCTAGCACCTTCACATCCATGAGGTGCAGCTCAGCACACCAGTTCACCTGCAGCCCAAACACCAGAAAACAGTTCTATAAGTTCTGATATCAGTTTATGTTCCACACGTTGGAACCAGAAACTGGTTCTGCAGAATAATGATGCAGGAAGCAGGTTTGGACCTTCAGGTTTGGTCTGAATATCTGACTGATGATGAATCTTGCAGCAGATGAAAACATCAGATGGACTCTTTAAAACGTTTCTGTTCAGCTTCAGCGCTGTTCAGGACGAGTCGGGGTTCTACTTTGATCTTCGTTCTTCTCTGGGTTTGAATGTCTTTAGTCTTAGATGTGGATTTAATTTAAAGAACTTTACTTGTTGTCAGAACTGTTCTGTTCAAACAAAAGACACTTATTGTGATTAGAAGTTATGAAATGTAGAGCTGCAGACAGAAGTTATTTTTATCTGCTAATAAAGTGTTTGAACCGTAAAACTCAACAATAAAGTTTGAAAAACATTTTAAAAATTGGACCAGACTTCATTCAGAATGTTGATAATTTTGGATTTTATTCAAGTTTTTCTGTCAGAACTTTGGTCAGGAAGAAAAAGAAGAAAATTCATTTCATTCTTTTCTGACAACGAGATAAATCCACTCCCTCGGCACCGACACCAAGTCTTTGATCAAACTGGACCCGAGTCTATTCAAAATCTGGCTTCATTCAGTTCAGAACCAACATGTTGAGCTTCGTGTTTTCTGGTGAAAACAAAGCACAGAGTAGTTCTGGATCCGTCTCTGCTGATGGGTCTGAGTGTTCGGTCCCTCCTGCAGCCATCAAACGATCAAACTGATCCCAGGTTTGTCCAGACGGGTCAAACTGGACCACACTTCATTCAGATTCTGCGGATTTTAGACTCGACTGTTTGACCTGAATCTGATCAGCTCGTATTGATTAGTGATGAACTCACGATGGATTGATTCGTGTTGAGGCTCTTGGTTACGTCAGGTCGAATATTTCCGTCACCTTCACCTGTCCGCCCTCCGTCAGCGTCTCCACCAGGGAAGGTCGGCTTAGCTCCGCCCACAGACGCTGCTTCAGCTCCATCACCTGACTGACGTAGTCCTGAGCAGACCATAATACTCTGATTACTGCTGCTGTTGGTTGTAACTGACAGTTTTGTTAAATCACACATAATGACCAGCAAAGTCCCTGATTCAGAATAAATGTTCCGGTTCTGCAGCACCTCAGAGCCTTCAGAACCGACGGCTGCAGCACTGAGCTGTAGATGACTCTGTAACGCTCCACACTCACACCATGGATCAGAACCTGGTTCTCTGGGGTCCGGTCCGGTTCTCCAACCAGCCTGCTGCTCTTCTGCTGAGAGAATCAGTTCACTTCACAGACAGTAGAGTCTCTGATGAAGTCCAACATCATGAACGTCTCCTGAAGCTCAGAGAGCCTGAGTGTGTGTGTGTGTGTGTGTGTGTGTGTGTGTGAGTGTGTGTGTGTGTGTGTGTGTGTGTGAGTGTGTGTGTGTGTGTGTGTGTGTGTGTGTGTGTGTGTG